TGTGGCGAAGTCGGTGCGCGCACTAGCTCGGGAGTGTGGGATTCACCGAAGTGTCTCGCCAACTGGAAGGTGGCCGTGGGGTTACTCAAAGAAGCACACTCCGGGCGGAAGCGCATGCACGGTCGCGGGCGGGCCTCGTGGTACCGCCCCATGGAGTTGAAGGTGTACGAGCGGCTCCTGGACTGGCGCCGCAAAGGAACCGCCGTGTCGGTCGTCGGCCGTCTGCGGGAGTGGTCGAGGGAGTTCATGAAGATCCTCTACCCAGACGTCAAGTGGAGCGGGAGTCAGAGATGGTCGGAGCGGTTTCGGAAGCGGTGGAATCTGAGCGTCCGCATGAAGACGCGGGTTGCTCAGAAAACAGCCGCTCGTAAGATTACGCCCCTTGCTTTTATGTCTAAGTTTCAGGTTCACTTACTAAACTGCCGTCTATCCCGCCCGCTTTCCCCCGTCTCACAGATCTTGCGGAGCAGTGCCAGAAATTCTGGCGTTTTGTCCGACACATGCGTCGCGCGCGCGCGGCATCGAGCCATGCTGGATCCTCAACGCTGACCAGACGCCGCTCTGGCTGGAGATGCCCGCCACCACGACCGTGGATCAGACGGGCGTACGGTCGGTGCCCATCCGGAGTGCAGGCTACTAGAAGGAGCGTGTGACCGTGATGCTGGCGTGCACGGCGGACGGGGCGAAGCTCAAGCCGTGGGTATTTTTCAAGCGGAAGACGCTGCCGAAGGGCAACTTTCCTCCTGGTAATAAGTAGCAACTGCCGCTGTCTTACCGTATCGTTTCTCATGCCGCGCTAACAGTTTAAGTGCCATTTCTGTGTGCAGATGTGGTCGTGGCTTGCCACGAGAACGGGTGGATGAATGCAGAAGGCGTCATCCGCTGGCTTGACGACTGTGTCAAGCCCTTCTTGCAGCCCCGATTTGGCAGGTGTGCGAAGAGCTCTATGCTCGTGCTGGATTCCTACCGCGGCCACCTTACCGAGGGGGTGAAGGAGAAGCTCCGCGAGATCAACTGCGTGCCTGCTGTCATCCCGTCGGGTTGTACGGGTGAGGTTCAGCCACTCGACGTCTCCATCAACAAGAGCTTCAAAGCATCTGTTCGTCAGCAGTACCAGAAGTGGTTTCAGGAGGAGGGCCAAGAGCAACTGACACCTGCAGGTACGTTGTTTCCGTTAAACACGCATGTTTATCCCCTTTCACCCTTGGTCAACTGACATGGCTTTCCCGGGTGTCTCTGTTGCGGTGCAGGGAATCTGAAGAAGCCCCCCCCAGAAGTGGTCCTTCGATGGATTTCACAAGCCTGGAAAGCAGTACCCTCCGACCTCGTCAAGCGCGCCTTCCCTCACCTGCGGCATTAGCAACGCGCTTGACGGCAGCGAGGACCACCTCGCCATGGCGCACAGGCGGAGCCAACTAACGGCGGAAGTGAATGTAGACGACGCATCATCGCCGACGGGATTTTTCGGCAACAACTGCCAGGAGCCCGAGTCTGACGAGGGAGTAGTTCCGTTAGAATAGCAGATTAAGTCTAAAATTGTGTACCTAGGTAGAATAGCAGATTAAGTCTAAAATTGTGTACTTAACTTGTAGTATTCGTTGAAGCGAACGATGTTATAGTTGTTGTTTGCTTTTGTTGTGGTGGTAAAAAAAGTGTTAATATTGAGGGTGGCGCTTATAATAAGGAAGGGTACAAAAGGGGTGGCGCTTATAATCGAGGATCGGCCATAAGCGCCATGCTCCAGATAGAAGCGCCGGCGCCTGTAATAGGCCGGCGCCTACCGTATCCACCCCGGATATAAGCGCCACGGCGCTTATAATAAAATCGATTTTTTAAGGGTGGCGCTTGTAATTGAATAATGGCCATAAGCGCCGTCGCTTATATAATGGTAAAATGAATTTGCATAATTTAGGCATCAAATCGAAGCCCGTATTAAGGCGAACAAGACTGTGTAACGTGCGCATGGCATCATGCATGGAAACACGCCGAAAACAGACGCGCTTCGGTTTCCAACCGCACAAAGCCCGTCCAGGAGCAGCTCACCTGCCAGCGCTGATGCGAAACTTGCCTAGCGGCCCAATCAGGCTTTCGTGTGCTGGGTGGCAGCAGAATCCTCACCCGAACCATCTAGAAGCGGCCATCATGCCCTGCCAGCGCAGCATCGTGCGTGGCGCTAAACCCTCCTCTCCGGGTTCAGACAGGGGACACCCGTCTCTCCTCGACGAGGACCCCGTGGCGCTAGCCAGAAGGGGTCCCTTTGAATCCTTCATTTGTTCATTGCTTCTTTCAGTTTTCGTTCTTGGTTCTTGATCTCTCCCGCCATGTTGCGGAAGCTATGGCGGAATTCACCGGGGTTCACTTCTTGTTCAAGAAGAAGCCTCCACGGAGGCCCGCGTTTAGAGTAGACGAAGACGGGTGGTACTCCCGCGTCCCACCATCTCCACCTAAGCCACCACAGCCTCCTGCGCCTCCTGCGCCTCCTGCTCCTCCTTCGCCTCCTGCACCTCCTGAGCCTCCTGTTCCTCCGACTCCTCCGTGCTCGCATAGTGCCGCGCCTCCGCTACACGCTGGATCAACGCCCGTGCTGACGCTGCTGCTCCCATCGTCGTTTGACGAGTACCTCTCCGAACCTGAGTCTAAGAAGCCGCAAGATGAGTGGGTGGAAGTGGAGCACGTTCCTGGTTCACGGTGGGGACAGCCTGACGACTGCCCGTGGACGAATCGCAAGTCGGCGCCGACGATGATGTTGAAGCCGAAGCTGACGCTGACGAAGAGGAAGCGAGCGGCACTGTCGGCGGCGAGTATGGCACGGAAGCGAGCGGCGGGGGCGGCGCCGAGGGCGGCTCCGCTGAAGATTTTTTCCCGAAGGCGTTCCCGGCGACGATGCCGATGACGGCGTGGAGTACTGGTCACGCGACGGGCTTCCCGAGACCCTGCCGATACCTTCCTATCCCCCGATGAATCGCAAGCGACCCCACCCTTCTTCCCAGAACCGTGATGCCCGCCCCCCGTCTCCCAGGCACAAGCTCACAGAGCACAAGAGGCAAGGTTACACCACCGCGGAGAAGTTGAAGTGGGTTGCCAGGCTTGCTGTGGGCAACGTCGGTGCGCGCTTTGGCTCGCGAGAGCGGAATCCACCCCAAGTGCCTCACGAACTGGAAGCGGGCGGCGGAGTTCCTCAAAGACGTGCACTCCGCTCGGAAACGCATGCACGGCCCGCGATCGGGCATCGTGGTATCGGCCTATGGAGTTGAAAGTGGACGAGAAGCTTCTCGAGTGGCGCCGCAAGGGAACCGCCGTATCAGTCAGCCGCCTGCAGGAGTGGTCGCGGGAATACATGAAGCTGCTGTACCCGGACAAGCCCTGGAAAGGGAGCCAGAGGTGGTCGGAGCGCTTTCGGCGACGATGGAACCTGAGTGTCTGCATGAAGACCCGGGTTGCCCAGAAAACCAGTCGCGTAAGAGTTACCCATGTACTTTGCCGTGTTAATGTTTACTTGTTTTACCGGTACTAACCACCCGCCATCTGTGACCGTCCTGCCTTCCACCTCCCTTCAGATGTCGCGGAGCAGTGCAGAAGCTTCTGGAAGTTCGTGCGTGGCATGCGTCGTGAGCGCGGCATCGACACCCGCGTGGATCATCAACGCGGACCAGACGCCGCTCTGGCTGGAGATGCCCGCCACCACCACCGTGGATGAATCGGGTGTTCGCTCGGTGCCTATCAGGAGCGCGGGGTATCAGAAGCAGCGTGTGACGGTGATGTTGGCGTGTACGGCGGACGGACGGAAGCTGAAGCCGGGGTGTACTTCAAGCGCAAGACCGTGCCAAAGGGCAATTTCCCACCCGGTACGTCAATTGGTGCACTGCTCGTTAACTGCGGTTTGTTCAGACTGCGAATTCTAACTGCTTCTCTTGTTTCCTGCAGATGTGGTCGTGGCTGCACACCGAGAACGGGTGGATGGACTCCGCGGGTGTCGTCCGCTGGCTTGAGGAGGGCGGTCAAGGCCTTTCTTGAAGCCCAGGTTCGGTAGATGCGCCAAGAGCTCGATGCTGGTGCTCGACTCTTACCGCGGTCACCTCACCCAGGAAGTGAAGGACAAGCTTCGCAAGATGAACTGCGTGCCGGCAATCATCCCGTCGGGCTGTACGGCGGAGGTTCAGCCCCTGGATGTCTCCATCAACAAGAGCTTCAAAGCGTCGGTCCGCCAGCAGTATACCAGCGGTGGTTTGAGGCAGAAGGGCAAGAGCAGCTGACGACAGCAGGTATGGAATGAGCGCGTGTTGTGTTTCAACCCCCCTTCCTTTTGCTTACCGTATGTATTGTTGGATTAACGGGATTCCATCGTTCTCCCGTTATTTTCACGGAACTTGAAGAAGCCTCCTCCGGAGGTCGTCCTGAGGTGGATATCTCAGGCCTGGAAGTCAGGTGCCTGCCGAGCTGATAAAGCGTGCCTTCCTCACCTGTGCATCAGCAACGCGCTCGACGGCAGTGAGGACGGCCTCGCCATGGCGCACAGGCGGAGCCAGCTGACGGCGGAAGTGGACGTCGACGATGACATCATCGCTGATTGGTTTTTTGGCAACAACTGCCAATGAGCCCGAATCTGACGAAGACTAGGCTAGTTAGCTAGAATTAGTGTTGCTAGACCTGCTGTTTCAGGTCTCTGATGTTGTAGCTGCTGTCATGATATTGTTATGAATGTGATTTCAATGTAAAACCAGCTAAGTAGTCAAATGGTGGCGCTTATAATAAGTACACAAATCTCAGGTGGGGGCGCTTCTTATCGAGGTCCGGCCATAAGCGCCATGCTCCAGATAGAGGCGCCAGCGCCTATAATCGGACGGCGCCTATATCCGGGGCGATACGGTATATCCGGGGCCATACGGTATGCAGGTTGCAGCTCCCTGAACAGTGGATTGCATATCAATGACTCCCTTTTTCCTTGCCACCTCTCACTAAGCCAAACCATGTTCAGTCTGCAGGAGAGTGACCTCGACCCATCAGTTGGCGATGGGGTGCTGGCACAGGATGTTCACGCCAATCCATGCAAAGCTCGGAAATACAGGTGCACCCGAAACTGCGTGCCTCCTGCTGCACACGTTGCAGCTCGGAGGGGTGGTAGCACACATGGTACCACGCAAAGGCACGCGCCCGCACTGTTGCATGGTCGAGACGCGTTGCTTCTTCCGCAGCCTATTACACATGCACATCCACCACAAAGAATTATTTTCAACGACTGTAACCAGCTTGCACGGCCAAACAGCACAACAGAGTTTCTTTCACATTTCTAGGCACGGCAAAGCAAAGGCTCCATGGAGCACTGCAGCAAAGCAGGCATGTCCCCACCCCAGCACTCACCTCAGCGCTGGGCTTGTGGGCAGTTGGAGCAGCGTCTGGCACCATCGCCTTGATGCCCTGCACCACGTTCACCTTGGGCGTCACTCGCAGCCGCGGATCCTTCTTCTGTTGCTGCTGCTTCGTTCGAGCAGCAGGAAAAGAGGCGTCACTGCTGTCGTCATCAACATCATCGTCTTCCTCCCCTCCGTGCTTTGCCCCGCACACGAGCAGGGCGGTGGTAGTGGCGGTGCAGGTTAGAAAACATATTGCGCACTTGCTCGCGCACAGCATCGTCCTTGCGCCCGTTGCGGTGCGATGCCTGAAGCATGCTACCTGTTGCCACCTCCGCCTCCGTCATGATGCCAAACTGCATACGCCATGGGTGGGGGGCACACATGCATGCACACATGGGAACAAACATGCACGCACACATGGGAACACACATGCATGCACACATGAGAACACACATGCACACACACATGGGAACACACATGCACGCATACATGAGAAGACACACATAGGAACACACATGCACGCACACATGGGAACACACATGCATGAATACATAGTGCCCACCTGGTGCAGGATGTGCAGCATGGAGCGGTCATACGCCCACTTGAGCTCCCTGTCCTCCTGCACATGCTGCTCGAACCCCTCCACACTTAGGTCCTCCGTGTACGCAGGCCCCACCTCCTCCACGCGCGCCCACCGCAGCCCTCGTGCGCCCATCCTCCAGCACCGCCACCTCGTCCTCCCACCCCATACCCTCGCCCGCCCCCTCCCTCACCTCCCTCGCCTCGTGCACCTGCCGAGCCGCCTCCTCCTCCACTCCCTCCGCTCTTGCGCCGTCTCCTCGCCCCCCGCCCCTTCCTCCTCTGCCACCGCAGGTACTACGCGCGGCAGATCGTCATCATCATACACCACGGCAGTGTCTTTAACTGCACGGTACAGGCGCCCCAGCACCTTGTTGGACTCGTACGTCTCCTTACTCGAGCCCTTCTCCATGAAATCGGGGTACTCCTGCACGCGCAGGTCGTGTGGCATCTGTCCCGCCACGCCCGTCTTGGGGAGGTCGAAGGCGATGGCGGCCTCGGTGTGCCAGGAGCAGACACGCGAGGTCGAACGCACCCTGGGGTCTGCGGTCGGCGTGCACGGCGTTCGGTCCGGTTTGAGCAACATGCAAGGTTCGAAAAGGTTTGCACAAACATGTTTGAGTTCGGTTCGTGCTCATATCTAGAGAGGAGTGCAGGCATGGAGGGAGCAGTGTGTGTGGCGGGAGCATTGGGGGACATGGAGTGGGGAATTAAAGGGAGTTGGGCAGGACTACATGGGAGGCTGGAACCGTGCATTGTTGTCAAGAGAAGAAACAGACCTTGCTTGTGATGCAGGCTGTTACTTGGGGTATGAGTACAGGGGGTATAGAGAGGCATGGAGTAGCAAATAGGCCACTTGGGAAACAACAATTCGGAGGAGATATTAACTGGAGAAATCAACAATAGTGCACATTAGGGGCTTGTGATACATAAGTAGAACGGGTGTGCATAGAAGGGAGCAGGCGTGGACTGACTGACCTGCATGTGCAGAAAGACGTGGTCCGGCACTCCCAAGGTGGAGAGTAGTGTGATGATCTCGCGATTGAGGAAGCACGGCAGGGGGCGCGTCCAGTTGACCACCTCCACATCCGCATGCTGCGACTCAAATTTGACCATGCTTGGCCGGATCCACATGTGCGTCACTGCTGCTGCCCCTGCTGCTGCTTCGGTTGCTGAGGTTGCTGTACTGCCTTCACCCTCTGCTGCCACGCCAGGGAGGGTTTCATTGACCGCAGCAGCATCCACATGCACATCACTGCTGCCACTAGCACCCGCGCCCTCCCCTGCATGCATCCACGAGTCAGTGGCGTAATCCCCTTGGCGGAACATCAAGTTCACCACCTGCCGATGCACACCACTTGTGCTCCCACCATCCATGGCAATCGCAGCCCTGCTGCCACTGTTCCTGCCGCCATTGCTGCCGATGCCGCCTGCCTTTCTGTGCGGGTCTGCCTCGTGCTCCACTTGCTGCATGACCCAGCGAGGCCACACCGTGATGACCCCCTTCACCCCTGCATATCAGATCTGAAAGGCCGATGGCGCCCGCAGCAATGCCCTCCCCCGCTCCGCCGCGCCTCCCTTCTTCCTTTTTGCCCCACTGCTGCCAGCCCCACTCCCACTCCAACTCTCCTTCTCATTCGCACTCCCACCCTCCTTCGTGTTCCCAGCCCCACTCCCACTCCAACTCTCCTTCTCATTCGCACTCCCACCCTCCCGTACACGCCCACTCCGAATCTCCTCATTCCCACTACCACCCTCTGCAGCAGCACCCCCAACATCACCTCCACAGCTTCCCCCACTCTCACCACCACCCGCATCACCCTCCCCCGCACGCATCCCAGAACCAGCGTCGCTCCACCCAGCACCCACGGGCCTGTCAAGGTAAGGAGCAACGGCATCTGCCAGGGCCTTGCCCGCCTCTGGAGACACGGCATCCACTCCGTCCGTGAAGCACAAGTTGCCGCGCGTGACATCGGGGATCATGCGCACGTGGGCACGGGGGAGGGGCAGCGAGGTGAAGCGTGCGGAGAAGCACTGCCCCATGCGTGCCGCACACTTGGCCACGTTGCGGATAGCGGAGAAGGTGCCCATCCACGCCTGGTGGTGTTGCTCCCCCCTCTCACTCCCCCACCCCCCCTCTCGCCCACGCCGGTTCGCCACAGAAACCCACTCACACCAGCATCCACAAGCATGCACCCACATGCAGAGAGAAAGCAGGTGGTGAGGGAGATTCAGAGAAGAGACACGCGGGTGAAAGGCAGAGAGAGGGGTGCGCTCGTGGTGGCAATGTGGGAAGGAGAAGGCACGGTGCTGAAGCAGTCGGAACCCCCAAGGCTGGGATGACATGCGCCATGCCCCAGGCAGCCTCCCTCCTCCCTAATGGCCCCTACAGCAACGCCAGGGCATGATGGCTGATCCTACCCACAGCGAAGCAGTCCCTCTGTGCAGTGCAGTGCAGTGCAGTGCAATGCAGTGCAGAACCCACCTGCACGGAGGCAACGGTGAGGCTGAGCGCATCATCCTCTGCCAGGAACCATGCTGACTTCTCCCTCAGCTGCGATGCTGACAACGCCAGGAAGCGGTAGTGCCGCCCACACAGGCTGAAACCCTGGCACACAGGGCACGCAAGCAGCACAGGTGGGGGCGGGTGGAGGGGGAGAGGGGAGAGAGGAATGAGATTGAAGCTACGCAGGAAGCGGTGCACGAAGACTTGGGAAGAGTGAGGAGAAAATTATTGGCTGGCATGAAGGCAAGGTGACGGGATTGGAAAGGAACGCAAGGTGGCTGACTGACATGAAGATGAAGTCATGAACCAGTTACCAGCACCACGATTCTCCCTATGCAGCATGCAGCATGAACCCTGCACCCATGTGCACTGGTCCCACATCACCATCGCACAACCAACTCCTGCCTGCCTCCTCGCACACGCACACAGCGGCACCACAAGCAGCCCCCAAGGCGAGTGCTGTGCCTCACCTCTTCCACGAGGCTGAGAATGCGGCGGTACACGTTGGTGTGCCCAGCAACACCCTCACGGCGCCCAGCGGCGTCTCTGAGGGCGAAGGGTGACAGGGTCTTTAGGCCCTCGTCCGTGAAGGCGACGCGCAGGAAGCGGTGCGCGTGGGGGCGGTAGTGCGTGAGCACGCGGTTGGTCAGCTCCACGCCCGGCATGCAGCACTGCGCGCCCAGCGGTGTGATGAGCAGCCGGAACACCACCACGTGGTTCGCTGGTAGCCTCCACGGCCACGTGCTGCTCTCCCCTTCGCTCGCTTCCCCTGCCTTCTCCTCCGTGTCTCGTTGTTCCTGCTGCGACTGCGGCTGCAGTTCCAACTCTCCCACAACTGACCCTTGCTGCTCTGCTCCCCTCTCACTCTGGTGCTCACGCGTCCCCTCTGGTTCCTTGGCTCGCCCCGTATCGGTGCCTCCCCGCGTCTGCAGCCTGCCGTGGTGGCGCATGGCGCGGGCGATCTGGTGGAACTTCCTGGCGGGGTCGAATTCAGGGCGGGAGAAGCGGAGGAACTCCATCAGCACCGCCACGGCAGCGGGCACAAGCTCGTACGCCAGAGTGCGGTACAGGGAGGTAGTCACGGCAGTGGGGGGGATGGTGCCTTGCTGTACCAGCGCTGTGAGCAGGTACAGCACTGGAAAGGCCAGCACAGCTGGCACTGCAGACCCGCTGCTGTTGCCACTGCTGCTGGTGGTAGTTTTGGTGTTGGTGCTGTCAGCTGGGGTGGTGACGGCACGGCGGTATTGGGGAGCCAGGACGGGTCGAGGGAGATGAAGGGGGCGAGGTGGATGGGCGGGGCGGCAGCATAGCGGGCGGTGATGGCGACGCGCGGTGGGTCGCCCAGGTAGCGTGCTCTGAGGTGCAGCGATGCAGTGCGCATGTGCTCTGCTATGCGCCTCACATGGATGCCATGCCGCACCGACACTGACACCTGCATCACCGACGCCGCTCCCAACACCCCTCCACTCCACACCCGCCCCTTCCACCCACTCACGCCACGGCCTCCACTGCTACCAGGCCCACTGTCCCACCGCCCCGCACCAGCACCTCCCCTTCCATCATCCCCAACGCCCACACACGCGCCTGCTGCTGCGCTTGTACAAGCGCCCGCCCTCCCCCCCGCGGGGAGGAAGTGCTCCTCAGTGGTTCGGGTCCACGGGTCGCCATCATCAGGGAACCATCTGTCGGGCTCCAGCTGCCACACGTCTGTGTCGCGGGGGGTGCCGTCCTTGGTGCCTCACAGGCGCACGTCCCACATGCGCCACTCTAGCTTGTACTCCACTCGCTGGAACGCCAGGGGGATGGACGCCAGGGAGCCACCACAGAGCGCTGCACCTGCATCCTCCCTTGCACCCCCCTCTCCTGCCGCGCGGCCACCCTACCCCGCACCACCCCTCCCCCGCTCACCCGCCTTTGCCTGCACCACCACCCGCACGTGCCTCTCCAGAAAGTCAAACTCCACGCGGCAGCTCTCGGGCTTGGAGCGCCACGTCAGCGCCAGCTGGCCGGGCTGGTGGATGAAGCCGAGGTGCACAGTGGCGTGGGAGAGCAGCCCCTCAGGCTCGCGGCACTGCTCCATGGTGCACTGCAGTGCCAGCTGCTGCCCTTTCAGCACCAGCGCCTCCTCCCTCGCCATCACAAACTCCGCCACCTCTGCTGTGAGGAAGTCTGCGTACCCATACCCTGCCGACACCCACTCCTACCGGTACCGCGTCCCCCCCACCACTGCTCCCTCCCCTGCGCCTGCTGCCCCTCCTGTGCTGGCTGCGCTTGCTGTGGCTCTGCCAGCGGGCAGGGCGCGGATGCGGGTGTACCCCTTGATCTTCACGTGGTCCACAATCACGCCCAGTGCGTCTCGCACAAACGTCGCCACTGTCTCCGCGGACGTGTCCGGTGGAATGCGGTCGATGCGGATCTGAGCCGACGGCCTGCGACTGCTGGGCCTTTGACCGCCGCCCCTGCCGCTGCTGCCTCTGTTGCGAACCCCGCTGTTAACAGCAGCACTGCTGTTACTCTTGCTGCCACTTGCGGTGGTGGGTCTAGTGGTGTTGGAGGGTAGCTGGGCAGCAGAAGCAGCAGCAATAGACGAGCCAGCATCGCTCTTCCCGCCCTCCCCCTCACCAGCACCAGCGCCACCGTGCACAGCGGGCCCGGGGTTGCGCAGGGCAGCAGGCCAGGCCATGGCCGTGAACATCAGCAGTGAACGCCGCAGCAGCAGTGGGGCCAATGAGAGCAGCGTCCAGGTGGCTCACATGCGCGCTGCTGCCCCTGCCCGTGTTCATGCTCGCGCTAGCAGAGCTGCTGCCCCACGGGGAAATCATGGCGCCCGCATGAGGGCCACCTGCGAACTCCACACTCGCGCTGCTCTCACTCCCTCTCCGCCACCTCCCGCTGCCGCCCTCCCTACCCCCGGAGTCATGCCTATGCTCATATCTATCCTCGTGCCTATTCTCATGCCTATTTTCATAACTATTCCCATGCCTATTCACGTACCTATTCTCGTGTCGACGCTCGTGCCACTGCCCCTGCCGCTCTCTCGGCGCAAGCGACTCCCCGGGACCACGCCCATGGACGCTGCTGCTGGGCTCGCGGAGAAGGGCGGAGCTGGTATTTGCGCCAGCAGGACCTGCGACAGCGGGCGCCGCGCGTTGGGAAGGAAACGCGCAATCCATGCTCTCTGTGGCCGGCGCGGTTGCAGCCAGGTGACGGAAGAGACAGAGGAGAGGTGGGAGGAGTGGAAAGGGAAGAAGCGCTCGGGTTCTGTTGACATGGTCGCGATGGGTGCACGTGAGCAGTCACAGAGAGGCGACGAAGAAGAGTTGGGGTGGCACGGGGGAAGAGGAGGCGAGGGAGGAGCGAGGAGCAGGGAGAGGAATGTGGCAGGCAAGCCAGTGAATCAGTTCAAAGGGGAATTTGCTGGTCAGCAGTTGCAGCAGCAGGATGATTAGGAGAGAGAGAGCCTGGCGAACGAGGCACACCAGTAGCAGATTTAGCACTGGTATCTTCCCCGAACTGCTCACTTTCTCCAAGGAAGCCACCTTGATGGTTGTACCCGCCCTTAGCTCAGCTTGCTCAACGGTCACGTCGGAAAAAACACACACACACACACACACACACTTGCTGACCAGCAGCCATGAAACGAACTTGCTGCTTCCGATTTGGCAATTCTTGCTCCACCACCTTAACCCATCTTGACCTCCCTATGGACGACGTGCCGCGCACGGCAGGCAGCAGTTGGGCAGGTGGGACTGAAACAAACGGTTGAAAACGGATAAGAGAAGCTCGTCAGGAGCAACAGTGAGAGATATGTCCATGTGTGATGCAATCCGCTCAATCCCGACGCTATTGTTATTCAAACGGCCGTCATCTGTGACGCACCCTGCGGTCTCGCCACATTCGTACGGCCGTCAGATCCACAGCTCGTCGGACCAACTGGGATTTGAGAGTATTCCGGTAATTGATGTCG